ATTACTTTATACTGTATAAAAAAATTTTTTAATAAATTGTGTAACCGTTTTCCTTATATGGGACGGTCCCACCTGAAGACTGTAATACCTAAAGCTAATACAGTAATTTGTATTTAATTCAAAGAAAAAGAAAATCCATTTTTATTGACCTTGTTTATATGAACCTTAGAGACTTTTTATTAAGAAAAGTTCAAGGTTTTATGACCTTGAAAATTTTCAAAATCGGGTATAATTTCTTATAAAAATTGATTTTAACCAATCAGAATCCTTTTCGATCAACCTTTTATAAAAATCAAAATAGGAAAATTTACAGTTTTCTATTTTACGATAATATAAAAGACATTCATTAAAAATACCCAATCTAGATTTATGAATAACGGAGATTTTTTAACCAGCATGTACTGTATATCATATTAATTCAGGCAATGATTTTTTTAAAAAAAAAGAAAAAAGATTTCATTAGAAATTATGCGCCACGATAAAATATTGACAATTTACGGAGTGAATGCTTTTATAAATTCGTCTCTTTTTTTATTCTTTAATCATCATAATCATAAACTTTTAATAGAGGACAAAAGAAAAAATTAGTGACTCGTGTACGCCGAATGATACAGATTTAAGGATTCCGCATCATTTTTTTTACTTAATACGGATTACAAAGGTTATGGCAATATTGAAAACACGTAAACGCGTTTCAAGAAGATGCAAAATTACGAAAATGTAATTAAAATTATTGAGGTTTCTCCTAAACAAATGCGCAATTAATAATGGAACGTTTCATATACAATTTACATTTATATCAAATGAATGAAACCTTAAATAATAATCGAACAACAATTCCTCCAAATAAATAATTTTGTTTTCGGAAATTTTTTAATTTTGATAATAACCAAATGTAGTACGGTGAAACTTTTATGTGTCAATCTCTTGTTTGACGACTTTTATTGGCCCGTTGAAAATTGAATCAATTCAGTGGAACAACATAAGAGTTTTTTTGGTGACGCAATTATCGGAAAATTTTCATGTTGAATAAACACATGAGAGATTTGTCACATGCTAAATTCGAGAACTAGTGGTTTTTTTTTTTCAATGCCTTTCGGAAGAGAACTTTCTGATTCACTCGTGAACACTCGTCACACATGTTACAGCACTTTAATCGCCCCATTTTTAAAATTCTTCAACCTATCTCATAGAGACTTGACTTATGGAAGAACTTCTCTTCCTTATTCCGCAACCGAAAAAATAATTCGTTCTCCACCTTATCTATCTTCTGATCATATACTTCCCTTTCCTTTCAATAATGATAAGGACAGCTTTATTTATTATCAGGTCTGGTCTTTACCAACTGCCAAGGTACAACGTAATATGGACCTTTTATTTATTCACGGTTTGAACGATTATGGTGGACGATTCTCTGAAAATTGTATTCCAATATTAGAGGCGGGTTTTCGTATCATTTCACCAGATTTGCCAAGCTTTGGTCGATCTAGCGGATTACATGCGTATGTTACTGATTGGCAAGACTTTATAAAAGCGACAAAACTTGTCGTGGATAATGTCAAGGAACTTAATGCAAAAGAGAATCGTCAAAGGAAATTGATTATATCCGGCGGATCCCTTGGTGGATTGATTGCCATGGCATATTCCATTAAATATCCGAATACGTTCGACGCTTTAATGTTGCAGTGCCCGTTAATTCATGTTGCTGGTCAAAGTCGCCCTAGCAAATTTGCCGAAATTATTGCTAAAGTAATCGTCAATACACCTTTAGGACGTTTGCCTATAGTATCCGCACATCGTGGAAAGAGTAGTTCGGATCCGAAAGTTTTAGAGGTAAAATTCATGTTGATATCAAAAAATATTTCCTATATTACTACTTTGATTCTAATTAATCCTACTTCTTATTCTCCTTTAGAACTTTCTTTCGGATCCACAAACTTATCATGGAAATTTAAGAGTATCCACAGGGTTGACACTATTAGATGCAACCGAATGGATACAATCAAATCTTGGTCAAGTCCGTAACTCATTTTTGGTGCAGCATGGTTTAAATGATCGAGTCACCTTATGTGACGGGACTAGAGATTTATTTGCTCAAGCACAGATCCCGGAAGATCAAAAGACCATGATTTTATATGAACAATGCGAACATGATATGTGGAGAGATCCATTCGCAGGGGAAAGAACCATGAATGATTTTATAAATTGGCTAATTCAGATGGACGAAAATTTAAAATGATAATCATCCTACATAAATCACGAGGTTAAAAAGTTTTTTTTCACTTTTAAAAAAAAGATTAAGAGATGGTTTTCAAAAAAGTATTTTTAGTTATTTATGTTCAGGTTTCTTGTACGATTGTTTTAATGCTATAAAATTTGTCAACGAGTTTTCCCATGTGTATGAGTAACACATTAAAGAATTGATCTTGTACTATTTAAGTAATGTTATAACTTAGTTTTTGGTATCTATCTGAAGTGTTACTACAGGACGTGTGTTTCGTGAATGTTGTACATCACAAACGCACGGTTTCTCTGTTCATCGTCAAATATTAAGCACATTTATTTGGTCATTCCAATTTTCTCGTTTACCTATCTCCTTTTGTAACTTTCTACGTTTTTTTTTTTTTTTTTTTTTGTTTCCTCCTCTTAATTTACACACTTCTTTTTCTGTATATACTACCTCTCTACCAAAATATTGAGTATTAAGTTCATTTATCACAAAAAATTACGCTATGTCCGATAACGCTAGTTTGAATTTTGACAATGATGACTCCGTTGACCCGAGTTGTATGGGTTGTGATTTAATAATCGAAGAAGGGAATGTTGTTGCCTTCGGAGAAGGCATATGGCATGTTCAATGGTAAGTTGTTCAGGCAACTTGATCCGTGAGTTAACTTTCTTAGGTTATACAGTAGTAAAATTGTGAAAAAAAAAAGTACAAGTTCTTTCCGGCGGTTTTAAGTGTAATTATTACTGAATTCTCTCTTGTTTGTAAAGTTTCAAGTGCGCTAAATGTCACAGCTTGGTTGTACACGATTCCAACGTTTTATTGTTATCCGACGGAAATCCAATATGTGAAAACTGTTCGTATAGTTGCCACGTTTGCAGGAAACCTATATTAGACGAAGCCATTATGACAGGTCAGATATTAAACTATTTGTATTTTAATTTTTAATTTTTGAAATTGGGTCAATAGGGCGCTATGTGAGATGTAGATTTTTTTTTTTTTGATTCCCTTTTGTTCATTGATGCAAGGTCTTAGTCCAATTTTTCAATTGGGACAATTCTACCATGTTAATTAATGATTCTGACGTCATTCAATTGAAATATATCCTTGATACCTCTTAATTAGGGGACGAGTCCTTTCACGTCGACTGCTTTTGTTGTCGACAATGTCGTAAAAAAATAGAAGATTTAATATATGCTAAAACAAATCAGGTATCTTTTATATGATGAACCTTGTACGAACCTTCACTTTAACATCAGTCATTACATTTAACAAGGGTGCAAGAATATCTTCTCGTTATTTCTTTGGTAGTTATATGATTTCTTAGATGGGATAGAATGAACTTATTGTGAATGAGGGAGGGGAAGGAAAAAAAATAAATAAATTAATGTGAAATCACGTGGTATTAAACCTTGGTGGGAGAGAGAGGGAGAGAAAATCAACATATGTATATAAATTATTTATTTGAAAAAATTTTTGAAGAGAGTAAAATTTGTAATATTGAAAGAGAAAGAGAGAGGGGAAAAAAAAAAGGTTCAGCAATTTTTACGATTGGAAACCGAAATTAATCTTTTGAAATTCTTGTTTATTAATGATTTAAGGGAATATACTGCATGACCTGTCATAACGAAAGAGTCAGCAAAGCAAAGAAAGCAAAAGATAGAGATAACTCAAATCCGCCAGTATTAGATAAATCTTTACCATCCTTGCCGATTGATATTGAATCAAAGGTATAAAAGCAAATGTTCAAAACCGCATGTGAGACCTCCTCCCCTTTTTGTTTAATCTTCATTTAATTTATAATTATAGCAGTCCAATAGGCTAGAATCACCAAACAATACTCTATATCCAAAAAGATCGTTCGAACGAAACGATACTTCACCTTCGATATCACCCCAAACGTCTTCAGATACTTTAGAACACATACCTAAGGCACGTACTCTACCTCCATCAAATTACGGAATAGGTCGTCGTCATTCTCGATTATTCGATGCCAGCTCACTTAGTGATGTTTTCAAACAAAAGGTTACTTCGAATGCCTCAAAGGCACTTGAACAAATAACAGGAAAACCTAACGGACTTACGAAATCCGATTCGTTAGTCGATAAACATAAGAATCGTGGAGATCCTTCCGAAAATTTAAAGAAAACTAGTATTTTCTCCAAAAGGAACGATTCTTTAGACAACATATCGAAAATTTGGCCATCTAAAAATCGTGAAGTAACAGACGCTCATGTAAGGAACTCTTCCATCACAAGCTTTCGAAGTGAACCTTATGAGGGGGGACGCACCTTTTCAATTTCTAGTCAGCGAAGTGATATCACTGATGTCATACCAAGAAAAAATGAAGCGGACAATTCAAGTCGAAAACCCGGCTTCTCTTCCAGTCGGAAAGTAAAATCGCCACAAAGTCAACCTCATTTACCTCATATTGATGAAAATACCGCAAATGTTCAATTAAATCCATCATCAAACAGTGAGTACACACCTCGTTCAAATTCTCCAGTTACTCCGAATTCCAGTTCCCCTACTAGTCCAATATTTCCTCCTACTTACAGCCTTGATAACAAACTTCTCCAGTGCCCCGTAAAAGCAGTTATTACAATGGCTTGGAAGTTGGCCCACCAGTATTACCACCATTATCTTTTTCAAATGGAGAAGAAGACTTGAGCAAATTGGTTGCGGGTAAAAAAAGAGATGAGAACCGTAAATTAAAACACAGATCATTTATCGGAGAATTTCCAAAAGATAAAAATTTCAAAATGTTAAATGGTATTGATTCAGTAGATTTTGAAGATTTTTCATCCGGTAGTTCTCCTTTGTCTGCGGACAGAAAGAACAGCGGGTCTTCGATAACTTCATTATCCAGTCGAGAAAATGAAATAACTATCATTGAACCGGACGATATGCCAGTAGAGGAATTGCAGAAAGCTTTAGCTGACACGAGAAAGAAATTGGTATTCATAGTAATCTATTTAATTCGTATCAATTTTCCGTTTTATTCCCATTGATTAATAATACTTTGATTTACAGAAGGCAAGTCAGATGGCACTTGATGAAGCCAGTCTTGTGAGGGAAGAACTCAATAATGAGATAACCCTAAGGAACAAAGCAGAATCAACAATTGAGAAAATGCGTACATATCTAGATAAACAATCTCAACAGATAGAAGAATTAAGAAAGGAAGGAGTGGAAAAGGATCAATTGATTAAAGATTCTTCGTTAACAAAACAAATGTTGCAAGAAATGCAAAATGAATTAAGAGAAATGAATATGCAAAAAGAATTGATTATCAAGGAGATCGAAGGGTTAGCTAAAGAAAAGCAAGCTGGTCTTGCCGGGTAAATATCTAATATAAATTTAACAAATTTATTGAGTATTTATTAACTCGCTCGTATATTGTTTAAATTTTTATTATAGAACTTTTTCATCTAATCCCGATTCTGATTCTACGAGTAATCTTCCGGCATCTCTTGCCAAACATATTTCAACTCATCTTGATGAAGTCAAACAAAATTATATGTCAGAAATTAGATCTTTGCAAACTGAACGAGATACATTGAAATACGAAACAGAACAGTTTAGGTATAAACGAGATCAGTTTGTTGAAGAAGCGCAAAAGTTGAATGAAAAGAATTTAGAATTAGCTGATATGAACAATGATTTACTAAAACAAATTGAATCACATCAAAAAGGCAAAGGGTTTAACTTTTTTAAAAGTAATAAACCACATGGACACCACCATACAGATTCTGGATCGAGTCATGGCAAATCCTTTGGACATAATAAATCGCCTTCGATATATAATTATGAGGCTGATATTCCAGACAACGCATCAGTTGATCCTTTGCAGAAGGTAGCTCACCGAAATAGCATTGGTCGTGGCGCAACTCCCAAAAAATTTAAATGGAAAAAGGGCGGAAAAGTATTAAATAAACTATTAGCTAATGCAAATGTAGTTGTTAATGATGTTAAACCATATATGATGGGAACTCTATCGACTACTTCCAATATTAGTTTACCTACAGCGACGAATGAAACCCGCTCAGAGGCAAATAAGAAAATGTTTAATCAGATGTTACATAATCATGAGATGAATCGAGCTCATAGTTGGCAACAAATCAATTTAACGAATTCCGTAAAATGTGACTATTGTCATGAAAAAATGGGAAGCTTGGCAGAATTAAAATGTTCAAGTATGCTTATTTATTTATTTATTTTTAAAACAAAAAAAAATTTCAATATTATTTTCTTACACGCTTTCAAAAATTTCTATTACTTTTAGCATGTTCACTTGTGGTTCATGTAAAATGTTCACATAATGTTCCAGCGAATTGTGCAATCACGGATTATGATTCAGATAGCGCTTACAATGTTAATACCAATTCGATATTTGGTAATGACTTAACAAAGCAGTCAGAGTTGGATGGAGTTGATATTCCATTCGTAGTACAAAAGTGCATTAAAGCTGTCGAAATTAGAGGTATATATATATATACGAAAAAAAAAAATAAATAATATGATCAAATCATTAATAATCTAATTTTTCAAAAAAAAATAGGGATGGATCTTGAAGGCATCTATCGAAAATCAGGTGGTGCCTTACAAATTCGTGCTATCATATCTGCTTTTAAGAATGGGATAGAAATTGATCTGGATAATCCAGATATATTTAATGACATAAGTGCGATAACCAGTGTTCTCAAAAAATATTTGCGAGAATTATCAAATCCTTTATTCACTTATGAATTCTATTCAAGTTTCCTGGAATTAGTTCGTAAGTCTGCACGATTTCAAAATCTATTTTTAGGGCTCAAAGTTTTTTTGAAATTTATTAAATCAAATTTTTTATAGCTATGCCTAATTGCGAAGAGAAAACTGAAAAGTTTCGAGAACTATTTTCACAATTACCAAAAGCTAATTATGCTACAATAAAATACTTATTTGAGCATTTATACAGGTGAGGATATTATAATCCGTTAATTATTTTTTTTTTTTAAATCAAATTACTGATTTAAACAAAATTTTTTCTTATTTTCTTTTAGAGTAAAAGAACTTGAAGCAAAAAACCTTATGACTACCAAAAATCTTTCTGTTGTATTTGGACCTACATTACTTCGAGGTTCCAATCCAAGTTCTGAAATTCTTGATATGAACTTCAAGAATGCCTTGGTTGAATATATTGTTGAACATGCTGACGTGTTGTTTTCGAGTAATGAGGAGAAAATAAAACCTGGATTTATATGATAAAAGTATTGGAAGACGATTATTCTTAAAAGCATAATTTTTAAATACTGATATAATTAATAATATTAATATTAGGGTAATTTTTTATAATCATGGACTATATACATTAATTTTTTTTTTTTATTAATAATATTATTATAAATTAAATCAAGGGTCCCCTTTTGGAAAAAACATTTTATTGTTTTATTATTATTATGTTGGTGATATTATTTTGTACTTATTTTATTTAATTATCTTATTTTGTATCACTTAATTTTGAAAAGTAGTTAGTACTTATACTAATTTGATGTTATTCTTATATCCCTTTTCCCTTTTTTCCTCTCCGATATTTCTTTTTGTACAGAAAATCAATTTATATATATATATATTAGTTATATACTTGTTTTTCCTCAAAAAAAAAAAATTTCAATCAACCAAAAAGTGGAGTCGAAAGAAGGAAGGGAAGGGTATGATGAGAAAATTTTGTTTTGGAATATTTCAGAAACATTTAAGGTTGGAGAAGATACAATAATTCATGTATTTTTCTTCTTCAATCTCAAAAAAAAAAAAAATTATTTTATTTTTTAAGTATTTTTCATATTTTTTTACACATATTTTATACATAGTTTATGACATTAATATTTTTTTTAACTTTGGAAAGGAAAAAAAAAAAAAAGAAAAGGTTGACCCTTTTTATTATTAATAATAATATTTTTGTGAATTAAATTTTATTGTTGAATTTTTTCGTTTTTCGTTACTGTTTAATCAATTTCGATCATTTTTGATAATCTGTATTACATGATGAGAAAAAAAAAATACGCAAAAAAGGAAATATTTAATTAAATGATATTCGCATGATCCTAAATTACTACGGCGATAAATGAAATCGCGTGTAATTGAGATAAAAAAATTACGTTAGGTTACCATGAATAAAAAATTTTGAATTGTGACCACCGTTTTAGCGTCTCCGAGCGACGTTATGTAAGTCCCAATAAAATCACATGATTAGTTTTATCTAAAACATTACTTCAACGAAATAAAAAGTATTTTTAAATCCTTTAAGACCAATTAGGACTTAACGCAAATCATATAAAACAAATACTTTGTACAGATTAGAAAATTATCTGACCTGTAAAAGTATTTGATGAGTATTTCTATTCAACTTTGAAATATTAAAGTTTGCTATGGTGCATTTCATCTATACTCAAAAATAAAATCATGTGACTAAAAATTTTAATGACTTTTTAATTATGTGATGTATAAAAAACAAACCCGATAAAATGGAAGTTTAGACCATAAGCTACAAATCTATCGGCTTACCTTTTGAGTTTTATTATAAAATTTCACAGTTATTAATGTTTAAAATTAGGGCATATAAAAAATTGTACAATTTCGGACTGATCGATTTTTGCGATTTACGGTATATTAGTGTGATTTAAGTGTGATTTTACGGTATTTTTAATGTTACACAAACACACAATGATCGTTCAAATCATTGTTCCATTTCATGCCTCTCACCTCTAAGAAAAAACGCATTCACAAAAACCAGCAACGTGAAACAAATGGAAGGTTCGGAACTTCCAAGAAATTTAAAGAAACCCATCAAATATATGAAAATTTTGAAGATTTTGGAGTTGAGGAAGTTGAGGAAGACCTTGGAGT